ACACTCTTTATAGCATCCTTCCTAGAAATAACAGTTGAATGATATTTCTCAGAAACTTTGGTAAAACCATGGTTTGAGATACTGTTTACTGTGTAGCTCATTCTTTATATCATGTAAGAAGTTCCAGTTCGAGTTTAATTGAAGGAAAACTTGTCTCCTCTATGAGTGAATCCAACTTTTCCTTCCCTGCTGCCAAAAATCTTTGAGTCAAAGTTATTGAGGCCTCTGTTCTCAATATTTCACTACACAACATCTATCACTTGTATATCCTGTGGATATTTTCTGTTTGTTTGGGTTTTTTTTCTTGCTGTATTAATCTGCAAATTTCCACAGTTCCTTTGGAAAAATAGCTAGAATGCAGATGTTGAGGATTATTTTGTAATTTAGAGTAGTTTTATGGTTTACAAAAGTTGTTTATGTTTTTCAGTTCTCCGCTCTTATTATTGAGAGAATCCTTTTAGAAATGACAACTTCTTGTACATTGTTAACTTTGGCCAAGAGAATACATAAATGTAATTAATTAGTTGGAACAAGTAAAAGGATAGACAGAATGAGTTATTGGTATTTTAAGCCATTTTAGCTACAGTTTTTGTTGGGTATTTTTCAGTTTTCCTTTCAAACTGGAGTCTTATTTTCTCTTCCTTTCACATTTATTCTTTGTATCTTTCTTCTCTTTTGGACTCTTATGTTTTTCTTACTCTTTGTCTGTTTCTCCATTTCATAATTTCTTCCCTGTCTTTACCATCTCTGACCTTCTTATAGTTCCTTTCCCTCCCTTCTTAGTTTTCATTTCTTCTTTTCTACTGCCCTTCAATTTCATTATTGTAAGCACATTGCTCTAAAGGTCTGTCATTCCTTCCTTTCCTCATTTAATATTTCAAACTTTTCCAAATTTAACACAAAAGAGTGATTTTCCTCTTCACTCCTCTCAGATTACCCTGATCTGTCTGCTTCCCTGATTGTTATTTGAAAATGTCATACTTTAAAACTCTGTCAGATTAAAGCTTGCTTAGAAGCAATTAAGTGGCTGGAGGCTAAAATATCTGAAGGACAATTTGCAGGGTAATTATTCCATGTGTAAACAATAGAGTTGACTGTATTGTAAACATGTTAAACTGTCCTGTTCTTTGCTTCTTCTCCTAGATTGGTGGAACAAGAATGCCTACCAGAAGCCACAGGAATTCAGTTTCCATGGAAACGAAAAGCCTGCCTGCTCAGCAAGTTGAAAATGAAGGAGTGGCTTCAAGTAAAAGAAAAATAACTTAAAGACTGTACCATGGAAAACAAAGAAAAACCAGTTATCACAACATTTAGTTTAGAAAAATTTGAGGGAAAATATGCCTGAAAAATCTGTAGGCAACAGGAATGTTTTTATTTTACTGTCCTTGAGAGTTCTTAGAGTGCCTTAAAAAAACACTTTGACTATGTGAAGCAGTGTTCCAACTCAAATGGGCTAATATGCCCTTAACACCTGAAGTTTGAGGAGACTATAGATATGTTTTAGCATTATCGTGGCAGGGAAATATAGAGAGAAGAAAATATTTTTATACTAGACCTTTAGCAAAAAATTGTAAGTAGGAAGATAATTTGCTCTTGCAAGAGCAACATTTATCATTATGTATTAGATTAATCCTCGAGGAGTAAATAGCAATCCATTCCAGTATTCTTGCCTGGAGGATCCCATGGACAGGAGAACCTGGCAGGCTACAGTCCATGGGGTCGCAAAGAGTCGGACATGACTTAGCAACAATTTCAGTTGTAATGCTGGTCTATTGGGGTTTGCTCAGAAGGTTAAATCTTGCTACTGTCAGAGATAATTTTGACTTACGTAAACCCTATTTCTGACCCATCTGACAGTTCTTCTATACTGATTTAAAGTGATGATTGTTCCAAGTTACAAAGTTAATACATTTAAAAACTTTGGTGAAATTCCACTGCAGAAGCCAAAAAGAAAAATAAAAAGCTCTCTGCCTATGAAAATTCACAAGGAAGTTAACAGTTTTTTGTTGGGCAATCATCAGTTTGTTTTAAACAAAAAAAAGCTTGTGGTGTAACAGGATCGGTGACTGCCTCTGTCCCTTGGCACAAATCCTGGCTAGGTGTTGAAATACACTACTAAAAACAAAGAGATGAGTGTATTTTCCAGAAAAATCTCATATTTCAACTAGAAGACTAACGTGTGGTAAAACAGAAGCTCTTTTTCCTCATCGATACTAATTAATTTAAAATTTTCAGGACCATGAAGGTGAATTTAGGAAAGGTTCAATCATTTAATGTTATCGTAGCCAACTATTTATACTTATGAAGGGATGAACTCATTTAATTTTTGTATTCCTATTCTTTAATGTGCAGTAAATATGTGCATCATTTATAAAATACAAGCTTTATAATTCAAGGCAAAGTTTGTTTTTGGAATTTTTTATGCATTTTATATTAATATAGGAAATTAGCCCTAGCACCTGTCTCAACTGTTGTAAGTAGCATTTATTTTTTTTTGTAAGTAGCATTTAAATACTCTTTTTACTACCAAGTTTGTTTTGAGTTTTTTGGTTGGTTATATAATATTTTTAATTAATGACTAGTTATTAATGAAATTGTCTTATGTATTTTAATAGATAGTTTCCTCATCCTGCCATTCCCTTTTTAAAACATTGAGCCTTGTTTCAAGTGGTCATTTTTTTTTTTTCAACTTTTGTCACATGCCCATATTTCCTGAAATACTCCACTTGTGATTCATTTGGCAGTGAACCATGGGAGAGGCAGGGATTCCCTAGTAATTTGCTCTTTTAGAAAAGCTAAGAAAATGATTGCTTCAGACTTCTGAATGCCAGAAGGATATGGCTTTCTTTTTTTTAGTATTAGTTTTCACTTAATAAAATGTGTGATAAGAGATTTTAAAATTATCTTAGCCATTTACTAGAGTAACTCTGATAATATATATAAAGCTAGTTTTTGTTTTCCACTTGTGCTTAATCAAACTTCTTTTTTCTAATGTATATTTAAACTTGTCTTGTGTTCTTTTTATTGATTTTTAGTACTGAGAATGTATAAGCAAGAAAGTGACATTGTCAGTATGAGCAAAGATGTTTTTAAAAAAACAAAAACAAAAGCAGTCAGTGTTGGCAAGGATATGATGAGCCTGCCCCACTTACATCTGTGGTGAAGGCGTAAACATTTCACTCAGTAAATGTTTGAGTGTATCTGTGTGCCACACAACCTAAAATTGGTCCCCATGTTTACTCTCATAAAATTCTTACTCATATATCAGAATATTTGTTTGTTTTACTTATTATTATCTTTCTTCTTAAATAGACTACAAGCTATGCCAAGGTGGGGCATATTTGTTTTGTTCACTTGTGTATAGCATACATAATACATAGTCGCTCAGTAGATAGAACTTGAATATATGACTAGATGAATATCTCAGTATTGAAGATAGATTTTGGTTTTCCCATGAGCTAACCTTCTAGTGGAAGACACAATACTGATCTATGTGGTAAGTACCCCAAAAAAGTAATGTAAGGAAGTCATCTAACCAGGACCTAATAATTAAGGAAGTCTGGATAAACCTTGAGCTGAGTCTTTAAAAATAAGTAAGAGTTATAAGGAAAGAATGAAAGATCTTCCTCACAGAAAGAAAGCAGCATATGCAGAGGTGAAAGACAGCCAGATTGTAGGCTGTGAGCATGGGAGATGAGAGAAAAGGCTATAGGACAGGAACAGGCGTGCTATGCTATGGCATTTGAATTTTGTCCTCTGTAGTGTGGGAACTAGTAGTGATTTTTAATAAAAATAAATAACATGATCAGATATAATTTTGAAAAAGTTCTTGTTGGCATTAGTGTAGAGAATGGAATGGAGCTAGGAAAGACTGTAGGGAAGTAGATAAGTTGCAAAGTTATAATAATTGAAAACTGAATTAAAGTAATAAAAATAGGGTCAGGCTCAAGTGATAAGAGAAAAAAACTGACAACTTGGTGATATAGTTGGTAGGGGGAGTAAAATATGGCTTTGAGGTTCCTCATGGGATGCTTTGTAAATACACTGCTTGGAAAGTATGAAGAGGAGTGTGGCAGAGCAAGAGGAAAGCTTGCTCCACATGTCCATTCCCTTTCTCCACGTGTATTCCTTGAATTCTGGGCCGGGTGGCTATTATTACTGTATAATAGACTTACTATCCCACACTAGCTAGGACACAGAAGCAACAGGTGCCCACTGACAGATGAACAAAGAAGCTGTGGTACATATACACAATGGAACGTTACTCAGCTATAAAGAGGGACACATATGAGTCAATTCTAAAGAAGTGGTTGAACCTAGAGCCTGTTATACAGAGTAACGCTAGTCAGAAAGAAAAAAATGCTTTATATTAACCCATATATATGGAATCTAGAAAGATGATACTAGCGAACCTAATTGCAGGGCAACAAAGGAGATGCAGACATAAAGAACAGATTTATGGACACAGTGGGGGAAGGAGAGGATGGGATGAATTGAGAGAGTAGCACTGAAACATTTATGTTACCATATGTAAAATAGATAGCCAGTGGGAATTTGCTGTATGACACAGGGAGATCAAATCCAGTCCTTTGTGACACCTAGAGGGGTGGGATGGGGTGGGAAGTAGGAGGGAACTTTTAGACGGAGAGGATGTAATGTATCCCTATGGCTAATTCATGTTGATATATGGCAGAAACCAACACAATATTGTTAAGTAGGTATCCTCCAATTGAAAACAATTAAAAAAAAAAATATTAGCCCAAAACTTTGCTAGTTAAAGCCGCAAATTATTTTTTTTAAAGAGTAGGTACGTTTTAAGACTTTGTAAAAATTTGTTTCTTTTTGGCCCCGCTGGGTCTTCACTGCTGCACATGGGCTTTAGGGCTGCTGTATGGCGATGCATGGGCTTCTCACTGCAGCGGCTGCTCTTGTTCTGAGGCACAGGCTCCAGGCTCATGGGCTTCAGTAGTTGTGGTGCAAAGGCCTAGTTGCTCCTTGGCATGTGGAATCTTCCCAGACCAGGGACTGAGCCCATGTCCCCTGCACTGCCAGTTGGATTCCTATCCACTGGACCACCAGGCAAGTCCATAAATAATTATCTCAGACTTGGCTGTGGGTCAGGAGTTCAGATGCAGCTTACCTGGGTGCCTCAGGCTCAGGGTCTCATCAAGTTGCAGTCAAGCTGTTGGCTGGGATTGCAGTTGTCTGAAGGCTTGCATGGGCCTGGAACATCTGCTTCCCAGAAAGCTCACCGAGGTCATGGTGGACCTCCTCAGTCTCTCACTGGTTGTCAGCTATAACTCATCCTCACCACATGTACCTCTCCACAGGTCTATTTGAGTGTCCTCATGACGTAGCAACTGGCTTATCAGAGTGAGCAGTCCAAGACAGGGCAAGAAGGAAACCACGGTGTATTTTATGGCTCAGTCCAAGTCAAGTACTGTCAATTATGCCACATTTTCCTTGTTAGAAAGTCCACACTGAGGATTCACAAGGGAGGAGTATAGGAAGATTTAGTGAAGTTATTTTTAAACCTCCACAATGCCATTGAACACTCAGGCATATAGAAAGATTAGGTTTAGGGTGGAGAGAAAAGAAAGGACATTTTTTTTTTAAATGTCTTATCACCAACATATTAAATCTGAGATAGTGTCAAAGATAGTTGATCCTTTGAGTTTTAAACTCAAGTACAGATTTGGTTTATCTGTGGTGACTGAAATCAGAGAAAACGAAGGCATAGCAAGAATGAATGAAGAATGGACCATGAATGGGGTCCCAGGAAAACCATAGAACTTTAGTAACAGGAGGATTTTATTAAAGTGGCTAGTATGGAAGTCAGACTTATAATTGTTAAGGAATAAGAAACTGAGGTGAAAACAATGAAAATCTTTATTGCAAAACTTGGAAATAGTTCTGTTTGGATCTTCTTTTGCAACTACAAAGGAAGTTAACCTATTTCTTTTCATTTCGTTTGGATTCTCTGTTTAGGTACCATGAACATTTTAGAGATATCAGAAGGAGGCACATGTTTAGGGTAGAGAGAACACTTTTTAATATTTTTCTCCCAATTTGAAGTTCTTGATGTACATGCAGGTAGAGATATTAAGATAGTTTTTCATGTTTATAGATATATGCAGTTACTTTTTAATCAAGCCTTAGAATATTTTATGTCAGGATTTATTGAGCTGCTCATTGAGATGTAGAAATAAAGGCTATGTATTTCATTGATCCTTTCACTTCCCCTCTTGTGTTTCCTTGGCTAGTGTCCAGACTTCTTATCAGAGTACATAAGGGCAGACACATAAGCATCTATCTGGAGATTGAGACTGGTCTGCTGAGCAAAGCTTACTCAAAGTGTCGAGGCCCAGACATATATTTCTAGGATGGGTCTCCAGGTTATCTCAACAAATAGGAAGATTCAGTTACCTTGGCATATATGTTTGCTTTCTGTCTATGAGCTACTGCTAGAAGTGATCAAGCAAGGACCTACCAAGGGTTGGTTTTTCTTGTTGTACATGCATGGTATAACCTTGTTAATCCTCTGAGGAACTGGGGTTGCGAAGAGGGAGTATGAGTGTGACTTAATTGATGTTTTGAAAGTGAAGACACCTAAAGAATCTGTGGTTAGTGAGTTGAATCATTCCTTCCCCTTTCTTGAAAATGTGCATTTCTTAGAGGGGGAAAAGTTAATCTTTTCATACTCCCTATCCCAGGTTTTGCTTACTCAAAAATACACAGCACAGGAGAGTGTGTGCGTGTTCACTTTAAGAAGCACACTCCAGTATGGCAGCACCACGCCATTGCCGTGGGTCTCAGATCTCTCCCAAAACCTGCATTAAGGCAACATCTGCTCCATCCCGGCTTTACCAACACACAGATCAGCCTTTCTTTTCCCTACCTGCATATTTTCACCATGTAAAGCTATGTCGTCTTCCATTTATTAACACCTGTCAAAACTTTGTCCTCTCTTTAATTGATTGTGCAGATTTGAGCATCATTGGGGTGTAATATACCAGTCTCTTGAGATTTAAAGATAATACTGGTTTCTGCCTTAAGGGTATTTCCTAATCTAGTTGGGAAGATGAATATACACAATGAGCTGTAACACAGAGAAGGATATTCAAGTAGCACAACAGTGACAGGAGTAAGAAAAAGGGATGATTAGAAGTAAGGCAAACTCATGGTAGGAATGACCTTTCAGCTGTGTTTGAAAAACAAGTAAAATACTAATGTGGATAAAGAGGAAGAAAAGCATTAGAGCATGAGAGAAATTTTTATGAAAAGAACTGATTTTAGGAAGTAGCTAATATGCTCATTTAAAAAGCATGCGGGTAAAGAATGATAAAAGTCCATACAGTCAAAGCTATGGTTTTTCCAGTAGTCATATATGGATGTGAGAGTTGGACCTTAAAAAAGGCTGAATGCCAAAGAATTGATGCTTTGAAATTGTGATGTTGGAGAAGATTCTTGAGGGTCCCTTGGACAGCAAAGAGATCAAGCCAGTCAATCCTAAAGGAAATCAACCCTAAATAATATTCATTGGAAGGACTGATGCTGAAGCTCCAACACTTTAGCCACCTCATGTAAAGAGCCAATTCATTGGAAAAGGCCCTGTTGCTGGGAAAGATTGAAGGCAAAACAAGAAGAGGGCAGCAGAGGATGAGAAGGTGAGATAGCATCAATGGACTCAATGGACATGAATTTGGGCAAACGGGGAGATAATGAAGGACAGGGAAACCTGGTGTGTTGCAGTCCATGGGGTGACAGAGTTGGACACGACTTAGCAGCTGAACAACAACACAGGATGATAAATGGAGGATGAAGTTGAGTTAAGTTAAAGCTTGGTAGTGGAAGGGATTGACTATTATTCCCAGATTGTTTGATCTGATTTTAAAAGCAATGAAGAGGGAATTCCCTGGCAGTCCAGTGGTTAGAACTCTGCACCTTCACTGCTAGGGGCCGTACTGAGATCCCACAAGCTATGCAGCATGGCCAAAATAATAATAAATTTATAAAGTGAAGAGATATTGAAGGCTTTTTGAGCAAGATGACATCTTTTGTAAGAGTTACAGTATAATGGTTTATTCAGAAAGGAGAAAGATTTCATATTATTTTATATTATGAAAATATTGGAGAATATGGATGGGGTAAAAAGACAACTAGTTATGTTTTCAACCAAATGTTGGCAGTACGTACAATTCAGGCGATTTCCTACAGAACCTATAGACTGAATCTGTGGGTCTGCAACTTAGGAGAGAGAAACAGGAAAGTTAGTGGCCCACCTTTGGGCTGACATACTAAGAAACTGGGACATGTCTAGGACCAAGGTGGCCTTTTTTCTTTTCTTTCCTCCACTTCCCCCTTTTTTTGGGTCAAGCAGCTGGGAGTTTCATTATATACCAAGTTAATTGAGCAAGCAAATACACAAAGAATAATGGGAAAGAGGAAAGCAAGAATAATTGATTTGGAATTGGAAATGAATTCATAGTACTTAATAGAGAGATGGCGAAATGTGTGTTTGTGTACATATGCATCCATACTGCCTAATTCTGCTGATAGGGTCTAGAAGCAACAGCACTCTGGTAGTAATGAACATACAGAGCACCAGTATCCAGACCTTGGTTTCTAAGTCCCATTTGTCACTAAAAGAAACTGATGCTCCTTGGATAAATTACTAATTCTGAGAATGGGGAAGGAAAACTATAAGATGAACCTGAAGGGTTCCCTGGTGGTCGAGTAGTTGAGGAGCCTGCCTACCAATACAGGAGACTCCACATACTGCACCACCACTGTTGAGCCTGTGCTCTATAGCCCAAGAACTGCAACCGAAGAGCCCGCATGCTGCAACTACTGAAGTCCAGGCACCCCAAACGCCCTGCTCCATGAGAGAAGCCTGTGTACCGCAACTAGAGAGTAGCTCCCGCTCGCCACAACTAGAGAAACCCCGTGCAGCAATGAAGACAACACAGGCAAAAATAAATAAAATTATATATATATATATAAAAAGATGGACCTGGAACATCAGCTTGTACTAGCAAGTGTGGATATGCTCACAGAATGATGGTTCCATGTCAAGAGAACACAGGAGCTAGTTTAAAGGCGTTCCCAGGTCTGGTGACATTTGAGCAGGAATTAATGATAGTAACAGATTGAAATCCTTTGAGTAAAATAGTCCACAAGTTCATACTTATATGAATGAATTAAAAATGGGGCAAAAGGGAATATTCTGTAGTAGAATGTCAATATACTAGAGAGAATGATGGAATTAGAAAGCTCACCAATTGGCAACCATTACAATAATAATAAGCTAAAAACCATCAAAGAATGCTAAATGCAATGGGTGAAAATTTTATAGCAGATGAGAATATTTGTGTAATCGTAAAGAATCTCACTGCCAGATAGTTATTAATAATAAGCATAACATGCTTACTAGTTTACTTAATGCTTAAACCTTGCAGAAACTATTTTAACCAAGAGCTTAAAGTTGATATCACCAGTAATGAGACAAATCAGCAGTGTGTGTTTTTAGATGTGCACCTAAAAGACATCATTTTTGTGGTTTGTTCTTGCCAATATACATAAATTATAAGGAAATACCAGGGAAACCCAAAGTCATAGTCTGTGAAGTAATTGGTCAGCAATCAAAAAATGTCATGATCATGCAAGAAAGAGAAACACCGGAGGGCTGTTCTCCTTAAAGACTGACCGAATGGGACTCATAATCCTGGTTGTATAGTCCAATAAAGGACATTATTAGAACAGTTGGCAAAATTTGAATGGAGTTTGTAGATTATTTATATCTTTGTTCATTTCCTTCGATGTGGTTATGTCAGAGCATGCCCTGTACTTAGGAAATAGACACTGAAGTATAATATGGTAATGAGACATCATGTCTTACAGCTTTGCCTCAAATTGGAGGGACTTGGGCAGAGAAAAGTTAACAGGGAGTCTTGGTGAAAGGTGTATAGGAGCTATATGTACTATTTCTACAGCTTCTTTATAAATTTGAGATTATTTTAGAGAAAGTTTATGAAAAAAAATGTATCGTTCCAGTGTTAATTATTATAGGAAGGTCAAGAAGAATGAAGACTGAAGGGAAAAGGCTAATTAGATTTAATAATCAATCAGGCAATAGAAGTGCGTAAATGAAACGGCAGGGGTAAGGGAATTAGGGACTCCTGTTTTGAGAGTCCCAGACATGAAAATTCCTTACAATTGAACACCCTAAAAACAAAACTTTTCTGCTTTAAATTCCTACTCTGCCTATTATAATACTACAGATTTTGAATTTCAGCTGTTT